ATGTACATTATTTTGTTTGTATGTGTTCTTACAAAATGTGTACTGTTGTATTGTTGCACATATGTACTACATATCTCACTTTTTAACTTTTTTCCCCTAAACACATTGTTTTTAGATCCATTCATGTTGCTATGTGGATATATAATCCACTGTTGCCAATCACTGTGTAGTTAAGATGACCATATAACTTATCATCTAAATTATAAAAGTAAAAAGGGTGCCATTAATAATTATGCTGGGATAACAAGCAGGACTGTACTAAGCAAACCAAGATGTACGGTCCCTCTATGCACCTAAATTCCATGCTGTTCACCAATGACATTTTCCAGGGATGGGCATCCAAGTTTTCTCCAACGCCCTGCTAACAATAGCTTTTCAAACAGCCTCATATGGCCCCATTTTGGACCCGTCTGAGAACCTGTTAGCCAAAAAGATGGCTATAGTGATTTGTAAATTCTTACGTAAGTAATTATCAGAATACTGAACAGATGAGCAAAGAGAGAAGGAAACTGCAAAGCAATGTTTGAAGAATAAAGAGTGGTAGAGCACTTAAGTTAGAATGGAAGGTTTTAGTTGGGGGGGTGGGGAATGAAAGGTATGGCTAGAAAGGTTCCTTTGAGGCAAAACTGGGGAAGTATGTTATGTTGTGAGTTTTATCTTGATAGTAACTGAGAGTCATCGAAAGATTTTGAACAAAAGGGTGGGATGATGGAAATTATATTCTAGAAAGATACATCTGATGATGCTGAATCAAATCTACAGCAGAGACTGGAAATGAAAAAAATCTATTAAGGGAATATATGAAAGCCAATACAGTACAATAGGTGGCTATAATATAGAGTGGATTCCAAAGCCAAACTGTCTGGGTTCAAATCTAGTTCTACCATTTACTAATTTTATGACCTCACTTAAACTCCATGTGCCTCAGCTTCCTAAATTAGAGATTATCATGATACTTCCCCATAGGGATGAACGTCAAGGGCTTATAACAATACTGACACATAATAACTACTCTCAATGTTCGCTATTATTATTGCTGCATAGTCCAGGAGAAACTGAGATCAGTTTAAGCTAATCTGACGGTAGAGTATCTTCAACAATCAGAACTCATGTCCTGAAGAAAGTGTCCTAATATCACTTATGTGTCATTCATAAACCCCTACCTTCTACAGTAAAAAATCCCACAAAGGGCTTAGAATAAGGCAAAAGGGTATTTAAAAAAAAAAAACTATTGGCCCTTATTATGTGTAGTTTGCTAGCTCCTGAGCCAGGCATCACAATAATGTAATAAAGATTCAAGCTGATGATAAATTATAGTTGCCACAAACACAATGGTTAAATGTCAAATGTTATTTAATATTTATTATTTTTCTCTGAGGACACAGTGTTTTTCTTTTTAATTTTCACAGGCTGATGATATAATAAAGCATTAATCCATCTTTTCAGCAATACAAATTTTTAAAGAAAACAATTTCCTCACCTAAGTGGCAAATAATTCCAAGATTAAGCTATGGAAGATTAGACTATGGGAGCTGCTCGAACTGAAGAACTGACTTCTGAACTGTTAATCAAAAAGATCTGAGAATGTTTAATACTTTCTGAATATGCACTGGATATCGCAACTCTATTCTAAATAGTTAGGAAATGTAAAGTTTAGTATAAACCAAATAATATTAGAGCAATGTGATCATTCCCATTAAAAATATCTAAAATATTTTTCTACCTTCTCTATAACAGCATATGCATTTGTTAAATATGACTACAAAGTCTTAAATAGTTATCAATAAAAATGAACAGAAAAATTGAGATTCATTATGTGCCTAAATAAAACTTGATGTTTAGATATAATGAAAATTTAACACACCTAAAGAAAGATATAATTACATCCCAGCTTGGATGCAACATCCTTTAAGCAATATTCCCAGAATAATAATCCAAAGGTGATCTCTCAACCCTCTGATCTCTCACAGCACTGGGTTTACATTACACACTGCCTTAGATTTTAGTAATCATATGCATATGTTCTTTTCTGCCTGATTATAATCTCCTTGAGAGAGGAGTCTGTGGCTAATTCACCTTTGGATCTACTACAGCATGTAGCATTCTGCTACAGTTAGTAAGTAGTTAATATTTGCTGAATGACAAAACGTATTAAAATATACATTCAAAAATGAATTCTGGAGCCATTATTAAAAAGTCTACAAATGATAAATGCTGGGGGGAAAATGATAAATGCTGGAGAGGGTGTGAAGAAAGGAGAACCCTCCCACACGATTGGTGGTAATGTAATCTGGTACAGCCACTATGGAAAACAGTATGGAGATTCTTTAAAAAACCAAAAATAGACTTACCATATGATCCAACAATCCCACACCTGGGCATATATCCAGAGAAAATTCTAAGTCAAAGAGATACATGCATCCCAATGTCCATGGCAGCACTATTTATAATAGGCAAAGACCTGGAAGCAATCTAAACGTCCATCGACAGATGACTGGATAAGGGAAGTTGTGTGTGTGTGTGTATATGTATGTATATACACACACACACACACACACACACACATACACACATATACATACATACATACAATGGACTACTAAACCATAAAAAATAATGAAATAAAGCCATTTGCAGCAACATGGATGGACCTAGAGATAATCACACTAAGTGAAGTAAGTCAGACAAATACCATATGTTATCACTTACATGTGGAATCTTAAAAAATGATACAAATGAACTTATTTACAAATTAGAAATAGACTCACAGACAGAAAACAAATTTATGATCACCAAAGTGGGGAGGAAGGAGGGATAAATTAGGAGTTTGGGATTAGCAGATTCAAACTACTATATACAAAATAGGTTAACAACAAGGTCTTAATGTATAGCACAGGAAACATAATGAAAAAGAATATGAAAAAGTATATATGTATATTGAATAACTAAATCACTATGCTGTACACCAGAAACTAACCCAACATTGTAAATGAACTATATTTCAATTTAACTTCCTCAATTTAAAAAAAATTCCGTGCTTACCATCAAAACATAAGATTTTTACCCACACCTTTTTTATTCATTAAACCATATTTCCTGAAATCTTGTAATGGTTTTTAAATGCTTAAGATAAGCTTTAGCACTTTAAAAATATTTAGTTCAAAATATCACTTTTCTGAAAAATTGTTATTATTTTTCATAACGTAATGACACTATGCTTTCGACAAAGAAATTGTATGTTGCCATTAATTTTGGCAACTTATCAAAAGGTCAGCTTCTAACTTCCCACATTTGAAGGAGTCATAATACCTAACATACGTAATGAATATGAACCTATCACATGTAATGTGTAGACACTTAAACCTGGAGTTACTCTTAGATTGCAGGGCAATCCTTTCACACGTCTAGTCCTAGAAATAATTCTAAAGACAAATTTGACCAATTCTTCCCTTATTTTCACCCTCTTCTTCAAATACTTAAATTTGAGCTCTTGGTTTCTTTCATCCACCCAGCATAGCCTACCCTCTAGAAAAAGTTTAAACGCATTCACACGGAATTGGCGAAGGACTGGTAAAAGCTGAATGTGAGGGCCTGGTGTCGGAGCCCTGTCCCAGGTTTCTGTGCTAGATTTGCTAATGTAATCTCCCCAAGTCTCTGTTTCCACATGTGTACAATAAAGACACTGTGGTTGGAATTAATGATTCCTAAAATCCACTCCAACTCAGGTTATCTCCTTTAGGGATATTGGGAGCCCCACGCATCATTCACTCTCCGTTTACGTAGCACCTGAAGTAGACAGATAATTAAATACTGTAATTTCAACACTTATTCATTAAACAAATCTTCACTGAATACTCATTGTGTGCCAGACACTGTATTGTGTGCTTGCAATATCATAGTTCACAGAGACCAGATGATATAAACGAACTGAGGAAAAGACAACTAAGGGAGTTTAAGAAGAGCTCAAAGAGGTGATGGTTAAGCTGCTCTTCAGTATGGCAGAACTTTCCCAAGTGGGGCCGGAGCACTAAATTCTGTTTGGTAAGGGGGATGGATGGCGCGTACGAAGAGACAGCGATGTGAAAAGCACGCTGAGTGTTTTCAGCAGCTGAAAGCCGGGTAATACAGGACAAGGGTTCACAGTACTCATTATAATTATAATCTGGCACGTTTTGAGTGATTACTTGATCAACGCTTGTTCCCCGCTGGACCACAAGTTCCACGAGGGCGGGAACAGCGTCTGCTTTCGCCCACATTATACTCCCAGAGCCTAAGACGCCACCTTGTGCCTATTAAGTGTTGGAGAGTTCACCAAGGGTTCGCCCCTGAGACATAAACTGTGTCACTTCCAAAATATCTTAAAGAAGGAATATTTTCCACTACAAGAAAGAGACATAGCGGTGCCTGCTGCGCCCAGTTGAGTTCCTCGGAAAGAGTATTTACACCGTCGCCCTCAGCAACACCCTCAGGGACACATACCCCCTGCAGTAACCGAGCCCTGAGTGCAGGGAGCTGAGGGGGGCTGACACCCGCCCGGAGGCCGGGCCTGCGCTCTCGCCCCGATGCCGACGCCACGATTCTCGAGTCCAGCGGCGGCGCCGCCGCCGCCTCAGGTTCTGGTGCCCAGAAACGTCATACTTGGACGCTGCGGAGACAAAAACCTGATTAACTGCCAGACTTACAGGCGAAGACAAAACAATTCCAGTAAACAAGGAAAGCTTATACACTAGCAGTCGGCTTCCGGTTGGTGACGCCCAGGACAGAAGGAGCGCAGCTCACCACACAGCCGGCCGGCCTCTCCTGAGCCTAGAGCTAGAGCACCCTCTCCCGGTCCCGACTACTTCGCGTCGCCGTTCACGAAGCCGTCCCCCGAGCCACGCCCAGGCTCGCGAGATTAAGAACAGAAGTCTCTGAAGGGCTCCAGGGAACTGAACTTCCTATGCCTATTGTTCCTGCACGGAACGGCCTGAAGGACCAACCGGAAGTAGGGTTCAAACGCTACACGGAGAGCATTCTGGGGACCGGAAGGAAGTGGAAACTCTTGCGTCCAACTGGAGTGCCGGCAAACGCGCGTGGTAGGAGAGTGCGCGGCTGTTAACAGAAGCTCGTTGCGGGAGCGCGTGGCTGGTGCGTGGAGGTCAGAGGTGACCAGAAGCCGGACGTCGGTGTAGAAGCTGAGTCTTCGCGAGCTATGGTGGGGAGATCCCGGCGGCGCGGAGCGGCCAAGTGGGCTGCTGCGAGACACAAGGCAGATCACGGCCCGGCCGACGAAAATGATTTAGAATCTCCACCCTCACCGGGGGACTCCAGCTACTACCAGGATAAGGTAGATGATTTCCATGAGGCTCGATCTCAGGCCGCCTTGACTAAGGGCTGGAGCGAAGTGGAGAGTGGGGACGAGGAGGAGGATGGCGATGAGGAGGAGGAGGTGCTTGCCCTAGATGTTGCTGATGAGGACGACGAAGATGGCGAGAGTACGGGGGATGAGGAGGATGACGATGATGATGGTGGGAGCTCTGTGCAGAGTGAGGCTGAGGCCTCGGTGGATCCTAGTTTGTCGTGGGGTCATAGGAAAAAACTTTACTATGACACGGACTATGGTTCCAAGTCCCGAGGCCGGCAGAGTCAACAAGAAGTAGAGGAAGAGGAAAGAGAGGAGGAAGAGGAGGCACAGCTCATTCAGCGGCGCCTAGCCCAAGACCTGCAAGAGGACGATTTTGGAGTCACCTGGGTGGAGGCCTTTGCAAAACCGGTACCTCAGGTAAATGAGGCTGAGACACGAGTCGTGAAGGATTTGGCAAAAGTTTCGGTGAAAGAGAAGCTGAAAATGCTGCGGAAGGAATCACCAGAGCTCTTGGAGCTGATAGATGACCTTAAAGTTAAGTTGACAGAGATGAAGGATGAGCTGGAGCCATTGCTCCGGTTGGTGGAACAAAGGATCATTCCACCCGGAAAAGGAAGCCAGTACCTGAGGACCAAGTACAACCTCTATTTGAACTACTGCTCCAACATCAGTTTTTATTTGATCCTGAAAGCTAGGAGAGTCCCTGCACATGGACATCCTGTCATAGAAAGGCTTGTTACCTACAGAAATTTGATCAACAAGCTGTCAGTTGTGGATCAGAAGCTCTCCTCCGAGATTCGTCATCTACTCACACTTAAAGATGGTGCAGGAAAGAAAGGACTGAATCTAAAAGCAAAATCCACGAAGACCAAGCCAAAATCTGTTTCAGAGACTTCTGCTGCTGCCTCTGCTGTTACAGACCTTTCTGATGATTCTGATTTACATGAAGAAGCTGCATTGAAGTACTATAAAGAAGTAGAAGACAAGCAAAAATTGAAGAGAAAGAAAGAAGAAAATAGTACTGAAGAACAGGCTCTTGAAGATCCAAATGCAAAGAGAGCCATTACTTACCAGATTGCTAAAAACAGGGGACTTACACCCAGGAGAAAGAAGATTGATCGAAATCCCAGAGTGAAACACCGGGAGAAGTTCAGAAGAGCCCAAATTCGCAGAAGAGGCCAGGTTCGTGAAGTTCGTAGAGAAGAGCAACGTTATAGTGGTGAACTATCTGGCATTCGTGCAGGAGTTAAAAAGAGCATTAAGCTTAAATAAAATATTTGCTTAGCTTAAGGTTTTTTTGGCAAAATATTAGATTAATAAATTTGTATTTTTCACTGGTGAAGTTACTATTAATATTTAATTCCTAATCTTAAATTTTAAAAATTCTTGTCAAAAGGGGAATTTGTCTGGGTTATTCCTCAATTAATTTGTCTTTCATTTATAATCAGGGCAGTAAGAACTTTGGGAGCAATATGAATGTGCTTGGGAAAACAGATGGTTTTCGAAAAAGTTCTCCAATATTCTGTCAAGTAGTAACCTAGGGAAATTTCACAGCTGGTTGTGGAGCAACCATCAAACTTGGAATACTTTTATAATTTTTCATGTAAAGTGAAGAGAATGCATCTTTGGCAATTATCTTATTTGTAAGATAGCTTTTAAAATAGTTTTGACACATTATTTCACTTAAGTATAATTCTTGAGTAGTACTTGTTAATAATGGGTTGAATGTTAACTTCAGGATTTTGTACCCTTAATTGTGGTAAAAGCTTAGGAATGAAGAGAAACTTGGTTAAAAATAGAAAAAGATACATCTTAATTACATTGTGAATATTTTTTGATAGTCGTTAAATGTGGTAAATAAGATAATAATTCCATTTCCTCTTCTGTACTGGTGACTTGTAGTGTGCTCTTTGTACATCCCACCTGCTGAAAATTTGGTGTGATTACCACTAGGTTAGTGGTAACTTCAAGTGGTAATGAGTTACATTTTTCTTTACAATTACTTTGGTCTTTACAGTAGGGAAAAGATGAAATGGTGAACTTAAAAATATGTAGGATGATGCCAGGGAAGAAATGAGAGGACTAGTGAAGAAAATCACAAAGGACATCTTAAGTATGTCACTGTTTATTCATTAAACATCGTGCTAGCTGCTAGAGGTGCAGAGATGATCAGTGGTTAATATTTATTAAAACACTTGCCTTAACTTTGTGAAGTGGCACTGTTCTATCAGACGAGGATGCTGAAATTCCAGGAGGCTAACCTTCTAAAGAACATGTGCTTGGGATTTGGACCCAAACCGGCCTTCATTCTTTTAATCTCTGATTTACAGCTGCTGCCTCAGAGCAGCACACATGCCAAATTATTTTCTTTTGTTTTCTTTAAAGAGGTAGGCTGGAAATAAAAGCTTATATTGAGTGGAAAGGTACTGTTGTTTTAAGCATTTTATTTGTTATTGCCTTATTCCCCACAACTCTTATGTAGTAAGTTCTATTATTATCCATATTTTAAAGATGAGACAACTGGCAAAGAGAAGTTAAGAACCTTTCTCAAGGTCATATAGGTATCAAGTGGTAGAGCCAGGATTTCAGCCTACTCCTTCTGGCTTAAGACCCCTATCCTATACTTCCTTTTCTGATATAGTAGAAAAAGTACAGGTATTGGAGTTAACTTACTAGGGTGATTTTGAGTTAATTACTTGATATCTGACTCATTTTCTTCATTTATGTGATACTATTATTATAACTACCTTGGGGAGCTAACATAACAATGGTGAAGAACTGAAGATAATGGAAAGTATATATATTGATTTCTGCCCCCAGTTTCTGGCACAGAACTAAAGCCCTTGTAAATTCCTAAGTGATAAGAGCACTGGGAGCATCATTTGTTTTAATGAGGTGACTCTGGGTGGGCTCCTGGATGAGAGCTGGTCACCAGAAAGACCAAGCCGTGATTATAAGCTTGGAATTTTCAGCCCCAGATCCCCATGCTCCAGAGAGAGGAGAGGGGCTGGAGATGGAGTTAATAATTGGTCATATCTACCTGAGGAAGTCTCCACAAAATCCCAATAGTATGGAGTTTGAGGAGCTTCTAGGGTCGTAAACATCCACATACTGGGATGGTGATGCACACAACTTCATGGGGACATGAGCTCCTGTGCTGGGGATCCTGCCAGGCTTCACTGTATGTACCTCTTTATCTGACAGTTCATCTACATCATATCCTTTACTAAACTGTAAACGTCAGTGTTCCTTGAGTTCTGTGAGCTGCTCTAGCAAATTAATCAAACCCAAGGAGGGAGTTGTGACACCCTCAGATTTATAGTTGGTAAGTCAGTAGCACAGATGGCCAATCAAAAGCACCTGGACTTTTGATTGGCATCTGAAGAGGGGGTAAGGGATAGGGGCAGTCTTGCGGAACCAAGCTCTTAACCTGTGGGATCTGATGCCATCTCCAGGTAGATAGTGTCAGAATTGAATTAAATTGGACACCCAGCTGGTGTTGCAGAGAATTGCTTTGTGGGGGAAGGAAAAAATTACATATGGTGTCAGAGTGTTTAGAGTTGTATAACAGTGTGACAGTAAAGGAGAAACACAGGTGTAAAACTCAGTTTTTCCAATTCAAGAGCAGACTTTACCCCCTGCCCCATTTCCATCACTTAGTACTTGTGATATTGGGCACGTTACTTGATCTCTCTTCCTCATTTTTTCATCTGGGGATAGTAGTAGTAGTACCTATTTCATAGAGTTATTATGAAGATAAAGTGAATTAATACATATAAAGCATTTAGAACAATGCCTGTTATACAGCAAACACCTAATAAGTGTTGGCTCTTACTACAGGTTGTGACGATCACATCTAGCATGAAGATGCGCAACAAAGTATAGCTAGTAGTATGGTGATTCCTATTTGTTACAGGAACATAGAGAATAAAGTGCAGTCATATATGTAAAAATGCTTGAGAAATTAGTATTCTAAGATTGGAACAAGGAGAAAGCATTGGGTGAGCAAGCACATGAAGGGATATAGAAAACCTGGGACAGGACAAAAACAAGGAAATGAAGTGAGCAGTTGAAAATGTTTAATGTTTTATGTCAAATCCCTGTCATGTATATAAAATTTTAAGGAAAAAATGTTTTAAAGGAACAGAAGTTACTGGATTTAATGTTTACATCTTCCAAATTTTGTATTTATTTAACAAACATTTAAAGAGCCCTGAGATGTGCTGGGTACTGTCCTAACATAAACAATAAATTGTTAACTATTCAATGTGATCATTTTTCATAGAGATTCACTTTGTGAACCCTGGAGAGTCTCATGCATAAGAGCTCCAATAAAGTAGATTACTGGTATCAGTCATCAATACAAAGCAACAACCAGTTAGTTTCATGTCAGCATGTTAAGCTATGGGCAACTATTGAAAATACAAAATATTAAAAGTAGAGGAAAATATCAAATTAGTGATCCAGTAACTTACTCTGCTATTAGCCAGCTGACTTGCTTTGGACTAATCAATTTCTCTAAGCCATAGTTTCTTACCTATATTCTTATTTATAAAGGAGTTAACATATCCCTTTAATTTTTATATAGAAATAAATTTATTTGCTTATCAAGCCTCTAAAACTGCCTTAATGGTCAAAGCTTTTGGCAAACTGGGAAATTTCTTTTTGTGATCTTAAAGATAAAACTAGCTTAGGGAGGAAGGTATAGCTCAGTGGAAGAGAGCGTGCTTAGCATGCATGAGGACCTGGGTTCAATCCCCCCAGAACTTCCATTTAAAAAAAATAATAACAAATAAACCTAATTACCTCCCCCCTAAAACAAACAACACCAAAAAAAACTAGCTTAGGTAATGTATACAATTACATTCACATATCTGAGACAAAGAAAATGTTTGATATATCCGAGGAGTGTGTGGAGTTGCTTATTTTTCCCTTACTGGTTGTGTGAAGTAAAAGATTTTAATATGTTAAAGTAATATAAGTTAACATTACCAAAATAATTAAGGAAAGATGAAAATCAGCATAATTTACATCTCAGGAATCACAATGATAAACATGTACCGCTGTCTGACTAGTACATGATCCAGAAAAATCATGTAGGAGTCAACCATAATTCCAAATCCTTCAAGCCAAATTATGTTTCTGGTAATAAATCAGAGTGTAAAAAATTCTTTAAGATATTATTTCAAAACATTTGTATTTTGCTATCACAAGTTTAAACACAGAAACAGTATAGAAAATTTAACACCAACCAAACCAACAAATGTTCAACATGCGAGTTTTTAATTTTGCTTAAAGTGTATTATCTCATATCGAAGTTATTTAATGTAGTTACTTTAGCTATGTATTCCAGAAAATGTTTTCTTGATTCTTTCAGTTATTGACTTGTGGAGGAGAAAAACTGATTTTTTAAATATTTGCTTCAAAGTGAAGCTTTACATAATAGTAAATATTAAGAATCAACATTTTTTAAACTCTAAAACAAAACAAAAAACCTGGAAAAAACTAATAAAATGTTCTGCCTGAAGTGCTTAGGGTAGCAATTAGGAGCTTGACCTCTGGAGCCAAGACTGAGTTTAAATCCGTTTCACCACTTACTATGTGTCTTTGGTCTACTTAACCTCCCTCTGTCCCAGTTTCCTCACATTAAATAATGTATGATTGTTATAGCCATTTAATTTACTTAAACCATATAACATACATTTACAATAGCACCTGGCAAGTACTAAGTGCTTAGTGTTAGTTACTATTAATACATTAAAAATAATAAAACTAATTTACTCTACTTGAAGGAGTTCGTTTTCTTGGTTTTATCATAGTGGTTCTTAAACCTAAATTCCTAAGGATCAATTGTTAAGTTTAAAATGCAGATTCCTGTGCCCAGCCTCCACAGATTTTTATTTAGCTAGCCTGGTGTGGACCCATGGATCTCTATTTTTAACAGACACCTCAGAGGATGCTGATTCAAATGGTCTATAGAACACACTTTGGGAAACACTGCTCTGGGCACACAGCTTTTTAGGTTTCTCTTCAATTATAACATAGACAAATAAGTGAAATTAATATATACCTCTATTATAATTACAAGAATGAAACAAGATATAGTCTTACCATGAGACTTCAAAAATTCTAGGATGGCCCCTTGAGAAATCTATTGAAAGCAATGGACCTTCCTCCCAGAACAATAATACATAGGCCTAATCTCATTTTACATACCACGTTAGTGGGTTCCTAGACAAGCCAGGAGTCTCCTACCTCATAGGAAACTATACTAGAGGACTGTTCTTTTTACCTTTAAGCATTTATATGGCTGATGTTAATACAATAGGAGATCATCTTACCATGGGTAGGAGAGGAGATTATTCAAAGTAAGTAGAAGACAAAAGAATTTGATTAGCACCTAGAATTTTTTTTTAAATATTTATTAAGTGAGCTCTTTTAGACATACATTTCTAATCATATCATGCTTGAACATACACAAAAGGGAAACTGCAGCCAAACAAATAAGTTTATTCTTTAAACTTCATATTCACTTCAAATTTTCTGAATCACTTCTATTCACGGTCCCTGATGGCCACAGAATCAAAGAATTTTGATAGGATTTTAGAAAGAAGAAAAGGATTTTTAATTAAGAAAAAAAGAAAGTCACGGGGTAGGGGTAGACAGGACCTGAAAACTACTAGAGGAATAAATCTGTTGTGTAAAAAGAAGAAACAAAGATCTTAACTTTGGGAGTAGACACATTGGTAGAAGAGATAGGAACTTTAGTCAGAGTGATTAACTCTTTAGTTAGGATGCTATGGGACCTCAAAGGAGGCACATAACTCTAAGGAAGGCAAAGAAGATCTGTTTGAGTAGAATCTTGGAAGAGTGGATGTGGTAATATGAGGAATGTCAAACACGTTAAAGTTTATCCAGAGGCAACAGGGTAGAAAGATAATACTGGAAAGGTGGGGAGGGATTAGATCATGAAAAAGTTTAAGGAGCTGAGATTGTATCCAGACATGGAGAAGGCAACCAAGGTTTTTAAGAATCAGTATGGTAGAATTAGATCAACTTTCAGAAAAAAGTACTCAGTCTAGCTGCTGTTGAACAATGGAGTTAGAATAAATTTAAAATAGGGATATGAAAACCAGCGAGGAGTCCTTTGCAATAACAGGCAAAAAGGATGAAGATTTCAATTAAAGTAGGACAAATTCAGGGACAGATCTGAGGAAAATTTAGAAGAGAATTTTTAAAAGAGAGCATGATAATTGGAACAAAGTATGGACAAAGCCATGGAAGGTCAGCAAAAACAACCAACCAAGTAGTTTCAGGAATTCTATTATGTTACAACTCTAAATAGGCACAAAATATGATAAGCTCCTCTAGGGTAGGTATCTTGAATTGTACTTCTCCACAGTACACACATGGAACACAACTTTGCTGTTAGTAGATCTTCATTAAAAAGATATAATTATCAAATTTAATCGAAATGGTCCCTCAACATTTTTTATTTTCTATTAACAAAGTAACATTCATTATAGACCACTTGCATATAAAGAGAATTAGAAAAATGGAAAAATACATCCATATTTCTACCACCCAAAGAAAACTGCCATTGTTTGATCTTGTTGATTAAGGTAACTACATTTCGTAAGAGTGCATTGTACTTTTAATCAGAGTATTGTATTAAGAGTAGAGCTTATAGGGATCGGGCATAGCTCAGTGGTAGAATGCATGCTTAACACGCACAAGGTTCTGGGTTCAATGCCCAGTACCTTCACTAACAACAGCAACCAGAAAAATCACTAAGAGTAGTGCTCATAGGAGAGGTGGCCAGATAGTAGAATTAGGAAGATGCTGAACTCACCTCCTCCCACAGCGACACCAAAATTACAACTACTTAGAGAGCAGCAACCTAAAAGAACAACCTGAAGACTAGCAGAAAAGATTTCAACTAAAGGCATAAAGAAGGAACCACAATGAGACAGCAGATGGGTGGAGATGGAGTCGAGTCAGGAATTACACCCCCAGGGGTCAGTGATCCACAAACAAGAGAAAATCACAATCATGGAAGTCTTCCAGCAGGGCTTATATTCAGGAAAGCCAGAGGGCTATAAGAAACAGAGACTTCACCGCCCTCCTCCCTGCCCTTTTTTTTTTGGAGGCGGAATTAATTAATTAATTAATTAATTAATTAATTAATTAATTTTAGTGGAAGTACTGGAGATTGAATCCAGGACCTCATGCACGCTAGGCATGCACTCTACCACTAAGCTACCACCGAGACTTCACTCTTAAAGAGCACCTGCAAAAATCTCACATGTTCCAAGTCCCAGCAGTGAGGCAGTAGTTTGAAGTGAGACTGAGTCAAACCTACTTAGTGATCTTGGAGAGCCTCCTGGAGAGGCAGAAGGCAACTGGGTCTTCCCCTGGGGGTGGAGACGTTGGCAGTAGCCATTTTGGGGAGTTCATTCAACCATGATAACACTGGTACCATCAAGCTCCACTTTGGAATCCTCCTTCTAGTGTATTAGCACCAGGGACCCAGACCCACCCTACAGTAGGCCATAGCAGCCAAAGCATGAAGCACAGCCTCACAGTCAACAAGGCAGAAGGCCAGGCCCTCCAACCAGCACACCCACAGTAGTCACCCCACCACAAATGAAGGGTACACAGAGCCCACACAGGGCACAGCCCTAGAACATATGGCTCTGAGGACCAGAAGGGAGCATACTGCTTGGCTCCATAGGATTTCTCTTACATAAGGCCACTTCTCTAAGGTCGGGAAACGTAACCAATCAAACTGACACAGAAATAAACACAGTAAATTAAGCCAAATGAGAAGACAGAAGAATATGTTCCAAACTAAGAGCCATAACCTCAGAAAAAGAATTAAACAAAGTAGAGATAAGCAATCAACCCAATAAAGAGTTCAAGGTAATGACCATATAGATGCTTACCAAACTGGGGAGAAGAATGGATGAACACAGAATTTCAAGTTAGAAATTATGAAGAGGAACCAAACAGAGGTAAAAAATACAATAAGTGAAATAAAAAATACACTGAAAAGAATCAACAGTAGGTTACATGATACAGAGGAAGAGATTAGCAATCAGGAAGACAGAGTAGTAGAAATCAGCCAAGCTGAAAAGAAAAAAGAATTTTTAAAAATGAGGATAGTTTAAGAGGCCTCTGGGACAATATCAAGTATACAAATATTCGCATTGATAAGAGAGAGAAAGGGGCAGAAAAATTATTTGAAGAAATAATAGCTGAAAACTA